TGCACCCTGAAAACAAAGAGAATGGAAATTTAATATTTCATTCCATACCACTTCTAACCCTGATTTCTATTACCCTGCCTTCTGCTTAAATGTCTGGCTCCAAAGGCAGAACAACTTTAGGCTCAATGAATTACACTTAACTCGAAAGAAGGGATCTCAGAACACTGGAAAGACAGAGATGGAGAATGCAAGATAAAGACCTTTGTGGGGGAAGGCTACAAGGATGTGAAAGGAGAAATAAAAAAGGAACAAGGAAACAATAGACATGTGGAAGAGAACTGAAGAGACACAAAAATGAGAGAAAGGAAAATCAACCCCTCTGAAACCCAAGTACAGAAGTTTTAGTGTTAGTAAATATTTATTTAATATTTTGGAGGAGAAATAAAGGGATAATCATGGGCAACTGGTGCCTTCTGATTCAGGGGGGGCACTTGACTCACCAGAAGCCAGTCAGTGACCAGGCAGGGGGGTTCCCCACAGCTGATCATGCTGATCGGGGGGTCCCTTTGTAGCCAGTCATGCCAACTGACCCAGAAGGGCTAGCAGCACGCCTGGAAGAGCCAGGGGCAGGGGGAACTTCTCTTGGCGCCCCCACTCCCCAGCTGGTGCTCTCAGGGGGGCACCAGTGCTCTTGCCATCACCTCAGTGGAGAATGCTGGCTATGAGGGGGTGCGCCAGTGCTCTCATGGAGTGCATATGCACCCCTGTGCACCCCCTACGCATCGCCACTGGGGATAATGTTTCAAACTGTTTAAAAGCACTGTCATTCTTCCGTGAAACAAGGTGTTTATTTCAGTGCCAAGAAAAAACCCAGTAAAGATAATGTAACTAAGGGGACATCTTGGCCTTCTCAGAATCGCTATGTAGCGGTTCAATAGCATAACCAGGGGCAAACAGAGAAGCCTCCCTGGGTGCTGGCCAAGCTGCCACCACAGCCACGCAATTGTACCAGTCTCACAGTGGCGGCTAGAAGTTGCCGCTGTCCCTATGTGTGGCAGATGCCTGGCTGTCTTATTCCTCTTGAGTGGTTGCTAACAGGGTTTGAGTAGACTCTCTTTTCCAGGTAATTGCTGTAGTTCTCCATCTTGCAGGCAGGTGGTGCCTTCCATCATAAGGGGTTTAACTCCTTGTTATAAAATACATTGAGAAATGATTTCCTAAAGTTCAGAACAGAATTATCTCTATGAAGAGGACATCACATATGGGAGATAATAACTACTGATTAAAAAGCCACTTTTTATGGTGTTTCTCAATCTTTCCTTATTGCCAGCCTTTTATCTGAAGTCAGCTCTTGCAATGGTTCTCCCATTTACTGTTGAAAGTCAGAGTAAAAACGTATCAAAGCAAATGTTATCTATGGGTGTGTTTAAACATGATAACAGAGAATACAAGATCCTAAAGGGCAAGTATGTGCAGGGTGGATGATTTTCTTTGAAAAACATGCAATATGATGTAAAGCAATGCCTCATGACCCCTCTAGTCATCTTCCATACCTTCTCCAGGGGATTGTGACCTACTGACTGAAAAACAATGATGTACAAAAACACAGACCCAGGTGGTTTCATAACTTTCTTATCTTTTAGACCATCTGGGCCAGACCCTTAGTCAGGGTAAATTGGCATTAATCAGCTGAGGTTGATGGGGCTCTTCTGATTTTACACCAGCTGACTAGGTAGCATGCTAGAAGAATGGCTGGACAGCTGACAGGATTGTGTGTCAGAAAATTTGGACAGTCTGTTGCTTAGCCTTCCAAAATAAATGTTGATCCTTGTAATAGCTGACTTCAAGCAGGGCTCACATTTTTTTCATTCCCCACCATTTTAAAGCCATTTAAATGCTTTTCAAACAGAGCTCAAAAATGTTTCTACTAAAAACCTAATACTGGAGGCCAAATGATGATGGAAAACAAGTTGTCATCTGAAGGGAGAATGTGCCAAATTTGGAGACTTTAATTAAATTATTCGATCTTAGAGATCTGGATTATACTATCCTCTTAAATCCAACTCTTAAAACCAAATTTAACTGCTTGGTCACTTATACCAGCTGTATAGTATCACAGGACTCTGTTAACTGAAGTGGCTTTACTACATGGATAATAACTTACCAATTCGATCACCTTTTGAGTATGTTTTACAGAATACATTGTAATGACTCCATACACTGTTAGAAAATTAACTGCCTCTTTAAGACTACACAAACATTCATGTGCTTGACTGTAATTCATATTAGAGAATTATTATTTAATTTTCAAAATTCAAAACCCTTTTATAAGGGGGTTATTATAATAATTATTTTTAAATGACATAAAAGCAGCAAACTTAACTTATTATCAAATGCTTGCAATAGCTAAAGTTAGTTCCACAAAGTAAGGATAAGCTGTATCGTATTGTAAACTATTCAAATTGTTTAGCAACTATCCTCATACAAAGGGGTGAGCTAAAGGAGTTTTCTATCCAGTTTCTTACATATAAAAGAAGCATCCAAGCATCTTAAGTTGTAGAAAAAGGGAGCATCTCTCTCACTAGTTGTGGTAATGAAACTTAAATCAGACTTTGGTTCTGAACACTCTAATTGTCTTGGCTTTCACTGATTTGATTAAGATCTTCACTGCTACCAGGTTTAGGTATTATGATGGGTATGGATGGACTAAATATTTATAGTGTAATATATTCTGATTATATTGCTGTGTGTAAGGGCTAACAATTAAAAAGGGAGGGAATTGTAAAAGAAGAGGCCAATTCAGAGGTGCATCTGGCCAGTACTGTGCTCCTGGAGAGTAAAAAGAGATCCTAGCACTCTAGAAGATTTTGTTCCAGATCTAGGTACTGCCAAAATCAATGACGTACAGAGAAGAAACAGGATGTATTAACAGAAAAAAAGCCTCTCTCACTAGCAGGGTAGTAAAGCACTGAAACAGGTTATCCAGAGAGGTTGAGGAACCTCCATCCTTGGAGGACTTTAAGACCTGGCTACAAAAAACTTTGTCTGGGATGATCTAGTTAGGGATAGTTCTGCTTTGAGTAGGGAGCTGGATAACCTAGATGACCTCCTGGGGCCCCTACCAACCCCAATTTTTTCTGATTCTATGAATAGCAGATGCTACATTAGAATTTCTGGATAGAGGACTCTCAAGGAAGGCTCTATATATACCATCCATGGCTCATCAGCTAAGGAACTGAACTCGGGGGGGGGGCATGTCCAGACGAGCATGGCTATGCAGTATGTGGCTCTACAGACATGTCTTTGGTACCACATACCACACGTTCAGGTGTACTCTCCACTGCAAGAGAGCAGTGTGGGCAGCTTTTTGATGCCTGGATATCCAGAGGTAAAAAAAAACAGCACAAAAAAGGTGGAGTGGCGCATATGGTGGCAACACGCACCACTTGAAACCAGAGCCACACTCTGGCTGACGGCCACGCTCTGAGCGGCAGAATCACCACTGCTGCAGCCCCAGGAGGACCCCAGGACCCCAGGTAAGGCTGCTGGAGCCAACCCAGTGCTGTCCCCAGCCTTTCCTACCCCACCCAGTGTAACTTGCCATGCACCAGAGGACACGTGGCACAGGCATTCCCAGGGGACAAGTAGTAGCGGCACAAGGTGTCCTGCTGCTGGTTGTCCCCAGGGAACCAAACGTCCATGGTCCTGTGGATGTGGCCAGGAAATTTTAAGCATTCTAATATTTTCTGTGAAGTTAGGCTTTCTAAAGCAAGTACTATTTGGGAGGGTCTGGATTCTGTAAGGAAACGCTCTTCTACAGAGGTTTGGGCCAAGTGTTTGAACAATTAGTTGGAAACCTCAGCAACAGCATCAAACAAGGAAAGAGATGAAAAATGTTATGAGTCATTAAGACAAATGTTGAGTAGAGTTTTAAAAAGTAAATGGCAGAATATTTTGCAGTAATGGATACTAGGGGTGTGCAAAATGGGCTGTATTCGATTCAGATTCAGCCTGAATTGGGGACGGTGATTCATTTCAGCCAAATCTGAAGATTCAATGCTGATTCAGAGAATCAGCAATTCGGCCATAGACACAGCTTTAAATGTTTTTTCTACATACCTCGAGGTAACAGGCGTGGCTCATGAATGCTGCGATGCTGGGGTGGAAGGAGCATCCCACAGGAGGGCTGAGGGTCCCCCACGTGCTTGGTAGCAAACCTGGAAGTGGACCAGAAGTGCTTCTGGTCCACTTCAGGGTCTGCTGCCGAGCACACTACGGACGCCCCTCACACTCCTGTGGGACACTCCATGTGCCTCAGCATTGCAGCATTGATGAGCCACCTGGTACCTAGAAAAAACATTTAAAGCTGTGTTTATGTCTGAATCTCCGAATTGATTTGAAGGGTTCTGATTCGATTCAGAGAAATGAAAGGGTCTCCTGATTTGATTTGGATTTGGAGATTTGGCGGCCGAGTCAGGCCGAATCTTCGCTGAATCAGGAACCGAAGCTTTGCATAGCCCTAATGGATACCAGTCCAGATCCTTGGCTTCCCCTTGCATGCACTCCTCCTGAAGGAAATGGCCTCACAAAAACATTTGTACCTTTTTATATTTGCACTGTTTCAGTAGCATTAGGAGCCTTCAGAGCTGAAGAGTAGGACAGAAGTCTACTTCATCTTCCTTGAATGGAACATTTATAGCACAGTTACTGCTGTAACTGCAGCTCATATACAGCTGCCTTAGCTGTAAACTAACTACCTTGGGTCCTGCTAACAATGTAGCTACACAAGGAAGTACCAGACATCTGGGGTAAGCCACCAGTAGTTTAACCACCACTTTTCTGCACATGCTGCATGGAAAGCATGCATCTGCTGGGAACCCTGCTACACTATTGCTTACACTTACTGCCACTTGAAACAGTTTTGGCAGGGGTAGAAAAGATTTTAGAGAGAGGCAAGTGCAGACACTGCCTGATTATTTATGAACTCAATTGTATTTTGTCTCCTCCTATAAAACCCACCTTTCTTTATAGTCAAGAATAGGCTGTGAAGCATTTCCTACCTTGCTGTATGATATTCCATCAAATACAGATGTTATTTCAGCTGGAGATGAAACATTGACCACAATAGGATGGGAAGTTGTCAAAGAGTCCTCCTTCATCACAGGAAGTACATCATCTATTAAAACCTGGTCAAGCTGAAAAGAAAAACAAAGCATACAAATAAAATAAAGTATAATCAAGCACAAGATGCAATTCTGAGTCTAATTCTGATGTATAACTTCAAGTTGAAGTGTCAGCCTCACCTTTTGGATATGGGTGTGCAAAATGAAATTTCACCTTCATAAGCAAAAGGTATATTTATGTGTGCACAATTCTTCTAGAGTAGGACATTTTCTCCTTCACTGAGATAAATTGTCTCTTACAAACCCCTGTTTTTCCATGCGTGTTACAATGAAATGGGGAAGGGGGAGCAGGGATAGGATGGGCACTGAAAAGGAGACTCAATTGCAGCATTAGGACAATGGGTGAGATGTGTTTTTTTAATGGTTTGTGATATTTCTGAAGCTGTTGTAACACACAGTCTATAGTAATTCCTGGTTAACAGAACAAAAGGAGTATGTATTTGTATCGCTTTCCATTACAACAGCTCACTGTGGTAATCAGGGATCCTGATCCTCTTTGTTTAAACACAGTAACTTCTCAGATAAAAACCTAAAATCTTCATTTTTTCTGTGATTAAAATGAAATGTCACGTGTGTGTATACATATGTATAAGTTAAACACAATATTTTAGTAATATAGTTACAATATTAGTGCATTTTGGAAGCTTACCGGTGCCTCAGTCATTATAATAAATTCTAAATCCCTATATATTTTGGTGTTTTATTTTGGGGTCTTTTATCATAGAAAATCAGAGCTCCCCCTGCCCTCTTCATTCATCAGGACATGGGTCTAGCTACAGTTTTCCCCCTTCCTGCTT